TTGGTGGAACTGGAACGGGAACAGGTTACATTTTAGAGAGAATGAAATAAGGAACGGCGTTCCTTTTTCTTTGCTTATATATATATCTGCAACTTTACCCAGCATTAGAATGTATTTATGCGCGCTATTACTCTCTATTTAACTTCGGGGCAGTGTCCGAGAGATAGTCGGAAACAAAGAACCGGAAAAAAAACTGTGATCGTGGCGGTACGAGACGTACAGTTCGGTGTGAATATTTCCCATTCCTTGCTTTATTTTATTCACCGATTATACCTCGCACAGTATTTCATTAAACTAAGCAAAGTAACGTTAAGGCAACGACACGTTCTGACCTTAGAAACGAAACGGGAACGCGTTCCTTTGGAACCACTGGAACTCGTAAAGGGGACTCGTTCCAAGATTGAGAAGGAACGAGGAACGAGCTTTCGTTCCTCTTTTGAAAGAACTTGTACAACACTGGCTTGAGTAATAATGATGAGGGTTTTTTGTATCCCGCAAGTACCGAGAGAAAAAAAATCCCGAAAGGTAACCCCCGAGCCCGTTTGATCAAAATAGGAAAAAACCAAACAAACCCTAACTGGAGCCTGTCCTTGAATAAGAAAAACCCAAACTTAACCGAAAGAAGTCTTCATCTGTACAGTTTTATTTTGCGTTGATCTGGAACACAGCCCGCACTGAGCTGTCCGCAAGGCTGCCTCTTCCTTCGCCAACCACACTATACTCCTTTTCACCTCAATAAAGAAGGGAGTTTTGCGCAATGTTCATACGACGCGCGAAATAGTTCCTACATGATATGGTTGTCGGAGGAAGTCGCGATGTTTTTGACGTCTTGACAAGGTATGTCTTGATAAGATAACATATATCTAGGGATGGGCACTTAATCGATTAATCTACCGAATAATCAATGAATTCTTTAATGGCGATTAATTTTTTTAAGCGAGTAATCGGTTAAATTTTGACTAAAAAAAACTAAAAATGCAACGCTTTCATCACTCAGACGCGGAGTACTTCAGTATGAAGGTAAACTTAGGTGAAATTTTGACCCAAAGAAAACTGTAGGGGCGAGATCTGTCACTCCAAACAAGTGGAGAATGTTTTTTCCCAGCCACTTTAACGCCGTGCAAGTGTCTGTTTAGCACAGCAGAGACTGCTGTGAACAATCAAGGAAGTTCGCTATTGCCGGAGCATGCCAACGAACCTCATTTGCTTCTGCGGCTGAAGTAATCATTTGGGAGTGTGGTTGTCTTTTGGCTGTTGGCAACTACACATCAAGGTTGTTTTAAAATCCGAAATCGTTCCGCCGCTTATCATATTCAGCAAAAGCAAACAAATTAATTTTGGCAAAAAAAAATTGTATGCATGGGAATGAACGAAAACAATTAATTAGTCGATTAAAGGGTGGCGATTAATCGGATTAAAAATTTTAATCGACGTCCAGCCCTACACATATATATAATCTAAAATGCGCCTACATATATCTTAATGGTTTGCGTAAAGGGGGAAATTAGTAATACTGCGCGAGCAGCTGGACTTTTTACTATGGTTCTGGAGGTGAAAACAAGTGTAGTGTCCCACGCTCCTTATCCCGTTTGCTTCTCTTTTCCGTTCCGGGACGTTCTCCGTGTGTTCGAGTCGCGCCCATGTTCCCTCGAGGTTGGAGAGTCCCATGCTCGTAACTACCACCTCACAGAAATTGACGTCACGTGACTTGAGGTCATATGACGCGTTCACGTGACGTCAATCTTCCCGCTAAATTTAGCGGGGATATTGGCGTGACGGTTCTTCGTGACGGTTTTCTCGCGAAATTCGGCTGATAAAACATATTCAGTGTTTAAAAACGCCCATGAATTCGAAAAAAAAAAAATAAATAAAGAAACCCCTAAAACTCGGAACCCCTAGTATAATCTCACCACTCGCCGCCTCGATGCAGGTAGCTGTGTGCCTGTCCCTCGCCCTTGTGGGCTGCGCCCTGGCCGGTGGCCACGGGGGAGGCTTCGGCGGTGGCGGCTTCGGAGGCGGCGGCCACGGCTATGGCCTGCTTCTCGTCGGGCACGGCGGCGGCGGCTACGGCGGCGGCGGCGGCGGCTACGGCGGCGGCTTCGGCGGTGGTGGCTTCGGCGGTGGTGGCTTCGGCGGAGGCCACGGACATTACAGCAAGGTCCTTCCTGGTCCCACTTTTCATGTCAAGACGTTGCACCACGTCCACAAGGTGCACGGAGGAGGACAGCTCGTGGGCGCGCACGGCGGCGGATACTGGTAGTTCAAGGTGCGTTGCTCCGATTCACGTTCAAGTGGGAACTTGTCCGAATACTTAACCGCTGTAATGCCGTCTGCGATGACAACTTCAACTTGGGGCCCATGCACGAAGTGGCGTTTGACTACATTGTGAGAACTTACGTTGAGTTAGTTACGAGTTGGAACCGCGAGGTCACTACGTGGTTTGCATGCTGCATGACAAACAATTCAAGGGGTGGCTTTGCACGTGACATTCTAAGCACAGCTATCCAGGTGACTCGCCAAGGCGTTCCAGAAACTTACGGGGAGTAACGTCGAGATACGATAGCGAGTTACCAGGACATATCTGCTTGGTACCACTGTATCCAATCCAAGGAGCAGCTTGGCACGCGCTACAAAAAGCACAGATGTGCTAGTGACTCGCGGTCGTGCATCATAACATAGTCGGCTGTAGTCAAACACTACTGCGTGAATGAACCTTTAGAAAATCCTAAATTATTTTCGCGGAGCACAGCATCGTTCGGCTTGCTTCGAACGTTACACTTGGCGACACTAGAACCCGAATGCTGAACTTTTCCCCTTGTGATGTTTTTATGTACCATCACTACACAGTCTGAAAGTTACCTTCGGGAGCACTTGTGAGCTTGGTTGTATTGTATGTCAATTTATCATACGTGCATCACTTGGACAAATCTTAACAGGCGAAATCGGAATGGCCGATCGAATGGCAGCGGCGTAATAAAACACTGTATTTTACAGCCTCCAGGACTCTGCTGAATACCGCTGCGTAGCAGAGTGCCATCGAAGAGTCAAGACATCTGTGCAACGCTGACGAGATGGATGCTATGTCACTGCCCAAGTGATCGAGGGGCTAACCACGTGATCAGGGAGCGGCGAGATGAAGGCGCCTGTACATTTTGTAAAATAAAAATAGTTCTACCCTAGACCCGCCTGCACAACTAAGAGAGACGCCTCCGCGTGGGCTTCCTCCAAGTTAGACCCGGGCGGTATGTATGTAAATGTATTATATGTAAAATTGTATGTAAAAAAAATACGCTGCGCTGGATGACTGAATATGGCGATTATGTCACGCTTTGTTTTCGGGTTGGTTTCAACATTTTAACCGTCGCGTGCCAACGTCGATAGAACTTTTCATACTAAACCACGTGCGTTAAAATTTGCCGATAGTGAAAACAAAAACTGTGTATGAAACATTCGTACTAAAACGGCCTGTATGCTGAAATAAGCTAATGGAATCTCGTAAAAACTTAGCAAAAGAAATCATCAAGCTTGAACGCGTGAAAAGCCTTACTGAATGATTTATACGTAATCATTTTAGATTTAATCTGTTCCTGCATCATATTTACTTCATGAAGGTAATGTAAATTAGATATGTTGTAGGTATTGGAGATTAGATTTTAAAAAAATAAACAGATTTTGATATGTTTATATTTTGCTAACGACATCTGTAACGTTCAAAATCAAAATTTGTGGCTCCAATCCACGCTGCTAAGGTAGTTGGGCAGCGAAGCTGTAAACGACACCCACAACGATTACCCATTGCGACGTCACTTGAAAATTCACACACGTGGCTCTACAAAGAGTGAAACCAGAGACAAGTGAAATGCACTTAACCACACCCTTTCATATATGAAAGCGTGGTGACGTCACTACGTGATTTCTATGCTGTTGGGTACCTTTCCACTCGGAGTAGCTTACGCAACCGTATTCGTTACCGGGAAACGCACGCGGGGAGAAGAACGTGCTTCGCATTGTTCGCAGGCGCCGTTATCACTCATTATGCGGTTTGCATTTCACACGAGGGCTTCGAATGACGTCCACCCCTTTCGAAGCAGCCGCACACATAATCTTTACCGGAACGCGTGGGAGGGTGTTCCTGTTGTTCACACGCGCCTTATCATCCATCATGTGGTTTTGATGCTTGTTTTGTGGTTTTTTTTATTGAAACGGATACTGAGCTGTATGCTGTATGCTGTAGGCCTGATTTCAAAGGAGATTTGCTGTTTTGCCTTCAATTTTTCGCCGGAAGTTTTTCGCTTACAACATCAACGACACGGAAATTTCCTTGGCTGGTAGAGGTGTACAGCTTCGCTGTAAAAGATGTTTCATGAATGGCCCGGCCCGGCCCGCCTAGATTCAGTCATATAAGGGTTAAAAAATTACACATATAAGCATGATGTGTTCGAATATTTTTTCCCCAAGAGCGATTAACGAATGAAATTTCTTAACAAATGAAATTATAACCTCCCCGTCACTCGGCGGCTTTTGTGGTGCGTTTAGTTCTGACACAACCTTTCGAATGCAATGTTTATGCCCAAAACCCAAATTTCTGTATTACAACACCTGCTATGACTCATATACGTGACTCACAGTATCATTTTAAATAATAAAGAATTCATAATATAACACTCTTCCCTGCAGAGCACTTCACGTGCTCTGCCGTGAAGGGTCAGTTCTGATCTGCGATTACGGAGAGTTTATGTATACCGTTCCGATAACTCCGGTAACGATACCCGGTACTCCGCCGACTCCTTTGCGAATGCATTGTATCGTCGTCGGTATCGTTATACTAAAACTCCATACACTTCTTTGTACCTTGAGTCTCTACGCAGCCGACGCAACGAGCTGATGGGGCCAATCAGACACCGTCAAAGACGCAACATTATGGTGTTCGTCGTGTTTCTTTACGTGTTCTATCATCGCTGAACCAATTATAAACAAAACAAAACGGTCCAGTGAGGTACGCTTTTGACGCCGCTTGATTGGTAATGTTAGGGAGTCTTCGTAGATCGTTTTCGTCGTCGAGCAACGCTCTCCACAACCGGCTACGATACCCGGAGCTCTACAGCCAAGGCCATCGGCGCGCAGGCGCAGTAGTGGTTTCTTCGTTGCGGAGGGCTTAGCGGAGGGGGGGACGCGGTCTACGAAAACTCCCTATGCGGAGGGCAAGTTCGTCTGCTTCTTGCGCAGGGGGTAGCGGTGACGTCAGAACGTCGAGCCCTGATTGGCTGATCGCGACCCCCTATCTGAGCGTCGTCTGCTCCTTTGCAACGTCGTCTGCTCGCAACGTCGTCTGCGTCTGTCTTACCTTTCCTGCGACTTTCGGAAGTGCAGAGGCCAGATTCACGAAACGACCTTACGCCAAAAACGTGCGTAAGACAAAACTTGAGAACAAATTCGTATTCACGAAACGGAATTTTCGTAAGTTTTGCGCAAATTACGACGATATCCAACGACAGCTCCGAAGCTGTCTTACGCACTTCTTACCATCAAATCAGCATGTCCGACAGCGTCGCGGTCGCGACGACCCACGGACGTTTGTTTTTCTACGTGCGCTTCTCACGCGTCCCGACTTCAAGCAGCAAGAAAAAAGTAAAAAGTACTTGAAACAGACCACGACGAACAAGAACGATGGATCCACAAACACCCGGTAAAAGCTCCGACGGCCACGATTCCACCGAACGCGACCAAGCGAGCACGGCAGTTAGGCCTAGCAGGCACTCCGCGACTCGGCGACCGTCTGCCCACGACCGGCTGGCGTGCTGAATGGAATATGCCCGCGCGACCCTTGTGAACCCTTCCCGTATTATACTTTGATCGCCGACCTCAATTTTAGATTAAGAGGTCAATTTCTTCCTCTTGTTATCTCCTTGTTTCCCGAGGCAACGGTGACTCTCGCCGGTGAAAAAGCGGTGAATCTCCGACAGACGCAGGAAAGGTAAAGCAGCCATCGCTTTGACTAGCAGACGTAAAGCAGACGGCGTTATAACTGCGCCAACCCGCCGACGCCGTTAAAGAATCAGGTCTCGCCGCACACGAAAGGAAGGAAAATGTATTTGGGAGGGAACTTGCGGACACTAACACACTCACCTCTCGGGTCTTAGCAAACAAACCTTGGCGCCTCGGGACACCTCGCGAGTGAGTCCTTTGACTTCCCTCCTTGATGCGCGTCTGCTAGTTGTTAAACAAAAACAACAAACCACTCGAGTTATTTCGTCTGCCCTCTCTGAAAGACGAAGTCGAGCTCGCTCGTAAAGACCTGCACTTCCGAAAGTCGCAGGAAAGGTAAGAAAGACGCAGACGACGTTGCGAGCAGACGACGTTGCAAAGGAGCAGACGACGCTCAGATAGGGGGTCGCGATCAGCCAATCAGGGCTCGGCGTTCTGACGTCACCGCTACTTCCTTTCTCATGCGCAGAAGACGAAAATGAGCCCACTTGCGAGGCGTATTACCTCGTAGCGTCGGTTGCATCTGGACTTAAGCTGAAACCAAGTACAGTCTCAGACTGTCGTAGACCACAAAGGTAGGTGTTTGGGTTAGGAGGAAGTACAGCTGTCGAGTAACTCACTGTTTGAAAACAAGCCCGCGTTTGCCCACACCGGGCGTGGGCATTGCGCGTGCCCAGAAACCAGATTCCGGTGAAGCGAAGCATCCGCGCATGCGCAGAGCCGACAGCAGCGCCACCGCAGTGGCGTGACGTCAGGGTTGAGTTGGTCTATAGGCACCCCTCAGGTGTGCAGTAGTGGGGCCAAAGGCAAACAAAACATCGGCCTACCACTATCTCACATCGCTGCCAGGACGTCTCAATCATTCGCGTTCGCCGAAAGCCTGCCTACGTGTGCTGGACGACGATTAGTCAGGGAATACATCAGTTCTTAATAAAAGTACATACGCCGTCCACAATCAGTGACTTAAAAAGCCTCACTCATGCCAGACATATCTCTCCCCAACCCCCCCCCAAAGAAAAAAGCAAACAATAACAACGATGATTTAATTAAGGGTCCGACTATTATTCTAGCGCAATATATACACGTATATCAAATTGCCTAGAATGCGCAGCTTCTAGCTGGTTTATAAGATGAAGGTGATTTAGAGCAGTGTTGAGAACCATACATCACAGAGTATCACAACTATTTCCAGCACGCCCTATACAATTTTTGCGAGTTTGGCGACACCAAAGGAGAACATTGACGAGCTACAGAACCATTTT